ATTGTTAAGTTCATCATATAAGATTCACTTCTTAAATAATGCCAAAAATGCCAAGAATGAAAAGAAATAGAAACATACTGTATGACTTAACCTACCTCAATGATTCAGTTTGTGTTGATTTCTATAATATATAGGTATCTGCAATAATTGTCCTCAGTCCTGTGTGCTGATGAAAATTAAAATCGCCAACTTGATGAATATGCAAGGTGAACTTAGGTGTTCAATTTATTCTAAAACATTCCGACGGAAAAAGTAACTAGCCGTACACGTATGTATTAATCACCACTGAATGTTAAAAAACGTATCGAAAATAGAGTATTTGTAGGTATATAGGTATTTATTGTATGTCTTAATTACAGGGTGGTCAAAATGACTGAATACATCTCTGAATGTTGAAAAAACTTATAAAAAATTGAGTACTTGTATATATGTATTTCTTTTGGATCTTGAATACAGGGCGGTAAATTTTTGAACACAACCGGAAATAATTAAATGACTTGGTCAAATTGTCTGCTTTCCTCTATTTTATACCACTAAAAAACTCGTAAAGCCACTGATATTTTTTCAGTTGTAATTTTACTGATTTCATCATTTATTCTGAGCTGCATTCCTGCATTATTGATAGGTCTACTGAAGTGAACTTTAGACTTGAGATAACTCTATAAAAATATAATGGAGTTAGGTCCAGAGATCGGACCGGTCATTCTACTGTGCCGTGTCTATCAAGACATCTTTGTAAGAATATTTAGTCCATATTATTACGCACTATTGCTACAACAATGTGGTGGTCAGACAAAATTTAGTTAAAAATATATAATTTCCAGTACTTTTTGATATGAGAGACAATAGTGTTGAATTACTCGTTACAGAGAGTGCGCTAACAACTTTTTTTCAAATTGAAAGAGGGTTTTGTGATACTTCTTTTGACAGTTACTTCAATTCTTCATCCAACGTTTTTATTTTTGGGAATCGAATCAGCCCTTCCTGAGTAGTTGGCAGTTTTCTATTCATTTTAAAAATCTGCAAACAAACAATAAATATTATAACTTCAAAAAAAATTTTGACTCAAGTTTATTTCAACAAATGTTTGAAATGTTCACTATTCACTTCCTGGCAATATTGTAGATTGTTTACTAATTCATTTTTTATATTATGGAATGATTCCGGGGTAATTCTATTATGAGCACCTTGTATTCTATCCACGAATTCTAGAATAGACTGAGGTTATGTAACGTATACTTCAGATTTCACGAATCTCCACAAAAAATCTAAGGGCGTCATATCAGCTGATCTAATGGGTTATTCTAAGGGACCACATTTGCCGATTCATCGATATGAATGATTGTCATCTAATCACTTTCGAAACAGCTTGTCATAATCAAGAGATACCTCATCTGGTTGAAATGACGCCTGTATCTGTTTTTGGAGGTTAACGTGATAATTTAACTTATGATGCACTGTTTGGAACCTTTGGTGTTGTAATTAATATTACTGGAGTTTTTTCCCAACACCAAATCGTTATTTTTAACACCTCGACACGTGTTTCGATCACCAAGTGATCATCTTCAAAGAGGAAGATTAAAACTGTTTTAATCTCTCTGTATGAAGATGTATCGTTATTTTTAACACCTCGACACGTGTTTCGATCACCAAGTGATCATCTTCAAAGAGGAAGATTAAAACTGTTTTAATCTCTCTGTTTGAAGATGATCACTTGGTGATCACACACGTGTCGAGGTGTTGAAAATGATGATTTGGTGTTGGGAAAAAACTCCAGTAATATTGTGATAATTTGAGTTTACGATGCACAACCGCAGTTCATTACAGAACTCGTGGATAGAAAAAGAGTCACTTACAATGAAATTACATCAGATAGACCCCACCCCGTACCCTATTTTTAATGATACCTTTTTTCGTAAATTTTGTCCGACCTTGATATCGTGTCCTATTCGAATGTTTAGAGGGAAGGGTCTATTTATGTCCGCCGTAAATGCATCATTAACTGAAATGATACGTCCTTGAATCAACACCCAATATATTTTACCAAAAGTAAGGTTTTAACTATTTCAGACCTTTACATCTGGTGGATACTTGGTAAAGGTCTAAGTTTTATATGTGGATTGTAATTGCTAATTTAACCAACCAAAAGGTGCCTCCAGCGAAGCAATCAACTGGGTTAAAAAAATGTGTGTTACGATCATTGCATAGTTCTATGAGCTTTGTAAGGGTGACGTCTTATGACTATGAGAAAGCACATTCTCTATGGTTCTGTTAGTGAAAATGGACAAACCAGGGGCAATGGCAAAGAAGTCAAATTTAATGTTTCATAAACGTATGGTTGTGTAAAATGAAGCATGTTAGTAAGTAACTCTAACACATTTGAATTTGTGGGTAAACAAAGCGGTACCTATTGTCAGATATTGAGTCAAAATGGTGATGGTAAATAGTGCTATGATCTTCCGAATCATATCCCAATTTTCTGAAATTTCACAGAAAGTAAAGGCAATATTTGGTGTTTGACATTCATTTCATCTCGTTATTATTTTTTTTTGATCAACATTGTTTTGGATTAACCCTGTTATTTCATGTAAATTTATCCCATCCTATGCATTTTCGGCGCTACTGTTTAGGCTATAATATAATGTTCAGTTCTTTATGTTGATACGCCTTCTAGCTCAGAGGAAAAAATATAGAGATGTTCTTTTTTTTTCATGCAGCCAAAATATCAGCTAGTTGTTTGTACACATACCTCTGTCACTGTATCTGTACAAGAATAGAAGATATACTCGGTCTGTTTTTATCTCCTCAGTAGTCGCAAAACGCCATTTTTTTCATTGGTTTCTTCGATCTTGGGAAAAAGGAAAAAGTTGCAGGGCCAAATCTGGCCCAAAAATTATGAACAGATAATGACCAATGAGCAGGTGCATTATCGTGATGCAAAAGACAAGAATTGTTTTTCTATAATATCATACGTTATCTTCGTATGGCTTCTCGCAAGCGGCGCATAATTTCAAGATGATACTCCTTATTGACCGTATGATCACGTGGCAAGAACTTCAGATGCACTACGCCACGGTAATCGAAGAAAATACTGAGAAAAACCTTAACATTTGGTCGAACTTGGCTTGCTTCATTCATTCAACAATACGTTCGGAAAAACTGCATGGCATAAGCCAACCGATATTCCGACATCCTCAGCAACTTCTCTAATAGTGATTCGACGATTCTCCATAACAATCTGTGAAAAGCTTCTACCACTCGTAAACATTTTTCTAACTCAGAATTCAATCACCGTTTGCCACTGTCAACACGTCATGTGGTTTGGAGCAATTATTTCCATTTTTAACAGTTCACGTACATATAATGAACTCGTTCGTTAATTCTTATCTTGTTCTTGTTAATGTTTTTACATAATTATGCTAACTTTCAGATTCATTGAAATTTTGAAGTTTTTTTAGTGATATTAGGGCTTACTTATCAACTTGATTTTGTTTTTGGTGGTTTGTGAGGTGGCAAAAACTTAAATAGTGGGGAGGGAAAAGAGAATGAATGGGTAAACAATCCCCTCATTCCCTTTGCCAAGGTAACCTGTTAGTAACAAATATGGATATTACGGTTGGGCAGAGTTTGAAGCATAAAACAGGAAGGGCAACGCTATATTTTTTCTTATCCTAAGCTTTCTAGTCATACGATATAATTTTATGAGCTCTGTGAGTGACATTTTCTGATGTTCAAATGGTTCAAAACGGTGGACTGCTAATAAACGCTCAGCTGTGACGATTTGTGTAGAGATGTTTAGTTATTTTCAATAGAAACCCGTGCATGAAGAGTATAAATAAAATGAAATGAAATGAATCAGATGGAGAAATTTGGTTCCACGATCTCATTACATTTGGCTCTTGGTGTTCCGTATATGAATCGTTTTACCTTATTTTTAAACATGTTGAAGTTTATCATTTCTTTAATATGGTCAGGAATAAAATTGAATGCCTTGGGTGTTATATAAGAAAATGATCGCTGACAAACAAATTTGCTCATCTGTGGAACAACATTGGGGTGTCTTGTCGGGTACCATAAGTATGGGTAGGTAAACTGGCGTGATTTTTTATTTTTTTTATATTCCAATATAACATTCAAACAGATCAAGTATCCCGCATTCCTTTATACAGGGCTATTCAAATTTGTTTCTGTACATGGAGATCTCGTAAACGATAAGAGATAGAGTGTCGGTTGAATTGTAGCAAAGTTGCGTATTTTAGAGACCTATTCAATGATGTAAAGAAATCGAATATAGCTCTT